GCGGGTGGAGGGGTAACGGTGGTTCCCATCACAGGGTCTAATCCCTGTGGTAGTTGGGGTCCACATCCCTGAGGGCCCTTCTCAGCTAGGACTGCCCTCCCATGGGCTAAATCCCCCCACTGAGTCCTGGCTTTAATAAGACAACGGAAACACTGATTAGCCCCTCTATTTGGCCACATTCTCCAAATTAGAATCCTTCATTAGTTTATGACCCTGGTCTCAGTGTTAGTGCCCTGTGAACTTAACCCCCCCTCCTCCTGAGGTCCCAAAAAACAGGCAGGCGAAAACTAAACAAGATGACCCTCAACCGCCCCGAGCCCCCCTTCCCCTCGGTCCAAGTCTATTATAAATCAAAGCTCACAGTAAACTGTTGGAGAAAAGGGAAAGAGAGGAGAGGTCAACACATCATGTTGACCTTTCCCACTTCTGTCTTCCATGGGGTTAATAAAGCAAGCAGGAAGACAAGGGGGAAAAACAGGGGACGAGACCTTAGGAAGTAAAAAAAAAAAGGCTTATTAGGTTAATTTGTTTTAACCTCCAGTAATTCTAGATTCAATCTACACATTCAATGTGCAACAAGAGTTGCAAAGAATCACATGAATTCAACAATTTGCGCTGCTAAATAAATCTGTATTTAGCAGATTCATAAAATGTAAATAATGGATTTAGATCCCCTTAAATACATTTGTTTCGACATACCGTTTATAATGAATGTCATAATTTTGTCTGTTAAGCTGAGAAGTTTGTTTTATACTTATATTTTTCATTCCTATTCTGTTCTAAATCCCATTAAAGGACTTGTTGTGGAATAAGGTGAATTAAACTAAATGCTTATAATGTTCGTAAAGGTTTCATTTTGGCTATCCATATTTTACATTAATTCTTAATGTAATAAAAAATGTGACATTCACCCAATTATCTGTTTTTTTTTCTCTCTCTCTCTCTCTCTAACCAATGTAATTTTGACCCAACTTAGTCACACGCAACTTATTTTCCAGAAAATATTATAGTATTACTGTGTTGGATTCTCAGGAAGATTCACAACTAACATCTGAAAGCACCACAGAACTCGCTCCCTATAATCCCAGACTTTTGAAGCATCTTCAAATGACTGGGTGTTGCAGGTTGATTATGACTTCTGATAGCTTTGTGTTTCCTGCCATTTTCATCCCGCTATCAAAGTGTCACAGGACACCACTGAGGCCTGAGCAAAGGCTGAACTAAATATAGGGCAAAAAGGTTACAGTGTAACCATTCATGGCTAAAATCTAACTAGGTTTAATGCAATAGATCTTTTACTGTGTGTCCAGAGTCTCTCAGTCTTGTTTGTTTGTCTATATCTGACCAGGTCACATGAGTGTCACTGGATAAATAAAGCAACCCTCTCATGCTTTCCCTGCCTGCTTTATCTCTACTGAGCGGATTCACAAACTGCACTTTCATTCACGCCGAAACGGAAACCAGGCTGCTTGTCAGACTTCCCTTAGCTGTGTGACTTACATGTGGCCAAACACAAGAGCCATCGGGATACTTCGCACACCGACATCTGCTTATCTGCAACCAAAATGAATGGTAACAAACATGCTCTCTAATGAAATCTCTGGCCTTAGGAGAATACAGCAGAACACAGCAGTAGTGGTCACCTGAAAGTAATGTGAGCTTGTTACAGTTTCAGACAGGTTGGCTCACAGCCCTCTCACCACCCCTCATCTGAAGAGGGCCTGATTATAAATAGGAGTGTGTTTGTTTTCTAGGACAAGCTTCCTGAAAGCCTTCAGTGTTTCTAGATTCAAACTACACTTAAATATGCAATGGGAGTTACAAAGAATCAGAATTATTCAACATTTCATGCACCTGGTAAATGAATCTGTATTTACCAATTGACGGTAGCCACTGACTTAAACAGTATGGAAAAAAAAAAATACTATGAAAGTCAATGGCTACCGTCAACTGTTTGATTACCAACATTCTTCAAAATATCTTCTTTTGTGTTCAACAGACGAAAGAAACTCATACAGGTTTGGAACAAGTGGGGGGTGAGTAAATGATGACAATTTATATTTTTGTGTGAACTATCCCTTTAATCTATACCAGGCCAGAATAACAATGGTTATCGAGCTGTCAACACTTGACAATGTAACGGGGAACCGCAAAACTCAACTAGATGGTCTAAAAGAAGCACTGCATAATTAGACTGGTTTCAGATTCATCTGACCTGAATCAGACTCGTTCTTAAAAGTTTGCATAAGATATACAAAGCATTGGAACAAAATGACACATTTTAAGTCGGACAATTTTTAACTTGACAAACTGTCTTAGAAACAATGCTCATGATGCTTAAAAACAGTTTTCAGATTCACCTGACAAGAGTTTACATGTCTCCCCCCCCCCAAGG